GTTTAGATTTAAGTAGGTGGAACCTGGAAAACTTTATATTCCTTTAGGATATGGGAATATTATTGGTCTGTCAAAAACGGCATAATGGTAGAAGGAGTTGAGTTGAGTTGAGAGAACATTATTCATTTTTATTTATGTCATAATTAAAGCTGTTATATGAAGGTGGGTGCTGTGAGGATTCTAAGTTCATAAGTAACAGTTGTATTAGTCTTGTCTAGTTATCTAGGTATTTATTGTTGTCTAAAATATCAACTCATTCCAATAACCCATTTCTAATTTTTTGATTTTATCTTTGGTTTTACTTATCTTCTTTGTGATAATTTTGATTTGCCTGAAGTGAAATGTAAAACAATAATCATAAATATAAATTCACGTGTCTTTTGAAATAAAAAATGCAATGAAACCATGGTCATCCTAACATATTTGAGGCCAAAAATATGAATCATAAATTTATTAAAAAAACTATAAATAGTTTTTGTATGGTTCCAGAAAATTATGTAGTTGCAGTTCTCCTACTTTATGCGTCTCATTTTTAAAACATAATTGACTTTTTGAAAGCTGTTTAAAATTCGATATTAAAATATCAATTTATAAATTTTAAATGCGCTCTTAAGTTTTAACCATCTTATATTTGTTGTGATGATTTCCAAATGAACCTAAATTAATTGAGTAAATTACACATCCCATGAGTTTTTAGTAAAATTATATAAATCACTCATCATTTTTAAACCTATACAACACATGATTTTGGTAACGGGTGTGATTAAGTTAAACAAAATATAGTATATCGTGAATGCAATTTCAAATAATATAAGAATATACCATATTTTGTTTGACTTAATTACACCCTTCACTTTTTTAGTTTAAGTAATTATACGTATCTCTCTTACATGGGCAGTTAGTGTAATGTATGTATGTAATTATGAGTGATTTGTGTAGGTTTAAAAAGGATGGATGATTTCTGTAATTTCTAAGGCTAGAAACAAGCCGAACTGAGTGGAACCACAGTTCAGCTCGGTTCAGTTTGATAAGGATTTGCTCACCTCAAAACTCAACTCGAGTTCGAAACGAGTTATTTTTTTAGCTCGAGTTCGGCTCAGTTAAAGTTCATGAATTGTTTGACTCAATTCGAATTGGTTCATATGGAGAAGTCATAGAATTGATTCATTTTTTTTAAAATACTGCAAAAAAGTTATATATAAATATAAACTTGTTTATATATATAATAACAATAAATATAAAAAATAACACATGGTTACAATAAACATAAAAAAATAGTTTATATGTATATATATGAGGAGATATTTGTTTACACCCAAATTAAATTACACTAGTTACATTCGATATCATTCACTCATTATTTTAGATCCAACGAAACATAAAGGTGGGTGAAAGAGGTGATGAGAGAGAAAAAAAATGAATATTATATGACTTTTAAGTTTCGCCATTATGGTCCGTTGGATTTAAAAAATGAATAGATGAGATTGAGTGTAACTAATATAATTTAATTTGAGTATAAACAATCCCTCATATATGGTGATGTATCTAGTGAGAAATGTAGAGTTATATAAGAGTGAGATGATTAATCATCAGCCTTCAGATTAAAATTAAGGGATAAGATTATCAGCTTATTTTAAAAAACTCACATGACATTTATATTACTTTCCTAAATCTTTTTAACCTTTAATCTAGTTATGTTTTCATTCACTCATTCCTTAACAAATTCAAGTATTCATATAACCAAAATAAAAGTACTGCATCAAAAACACTCTATTTACTCATTTAGACATTATGATGAACATATGGTAGGAAGTCTTAAAATATACTGGAAAATTTGAAAATAAATTTGAGGATAATTCAAACTGGAGTGTGAGAATAAAGAATGAGGAAGTTCCACTTAGCTAAAAAATGGAGAAGCAAGGGAAGAAAAGGAATTGTATGGGAATAGAAGGGAGATTTGCTTCCATCCTGACCTGATTGTCAAATGAAGGTGAAAATATTGTAATGCCAATGAAAATGGAAAGGAGAAGGCACATGAATTTTTTAAAAGTAAAATATAATTCAAGTCTTTAATTTTAATCCAAAGACTAAGAATTAATCCTTTCACTTTCCTATAACTCTACCCTTTTCACTAGATACATCCCGATATATATATATATATATATTGAGTCATCTTATGAACCTAACGTGTTGAACTATATTCAGCTCAAGTTCGACTCGTTTATTTAACGAATTCAATTTTCAACTCAAGTTTGGCTCATTTGGTTCATTAACCAAGTTTATCAAGCTAGATAACGAGTCGAGTTTTGAATGAATATGAAGTTGGTTCGGTTCATTGTCAACTCTAGTAATTTCACTCAAACTTAAGAAATGTATATGTAATTTACTCAAAGTAAAACTATGAAATGTACTGAAATAACTATATGATTTATAAAAACATACAATAATAAAATAAAACAAAAAATAAAGTTATTTAATTAAATATAAAATAAAAAGTGAGTCCCTTTTTATTGTGGGTCCTTGGTGGTCGCACTTGCCCAAGGCCAGCCTTAAACGAAACAATTGTGACTAGTAGGGATGACAAGGATTTGACCTTACAGGTTTACTCGGTTTGGGTAAGGGACAAGATCAACTCTTCCCATGATTACTTATTTGTTTTCTTTGTATGTGCCTATTCAATTATGTAGAAAGTAATGATAACTTTTAGCTCAAAGAGTCATTGATTTTCTAACTTTTTCATCATATATAGATATATGTACATGCTTAACAAAATAAGTATATATATTATTTGTAACACCCTAATTTTGTAATAAAAAATATAAATTAAAGATGGAAGGAGAAACATAAAAAAAAATGAATATGTTTAAGCCTATGAGTTTCTCCCTCCATAAATTTTATTCACTATGAATATGTTTAATAATTATGAGTTTCTAATTAAAACAATGACTCAAAGGACATAACAAGATAATTTTTAAAACTTCAACAATTCAATTTCACTCTAGATGATTATTTGAACAAAAAGATAAATTATTTTCAAGAATCAATTGTGCTCATTTTATGACTAAGTATAGATATTAACTTATCAATACTTTTGTCATTCTAAAGCAATGTAACAAAAGCGCATCTCATAATATCCATCAAAATGTCATGACTAAAAGTCATAGATGACATGCATTACCTAAAACAAGTACATAATAACTATGATCCAAAAGAATTTAAAAAAATAAAATTCCTAATTAGTTTTAGTCACATACATAGAAATGACTTGAAGTATCTCAAAGTAAAACTTGTGTTCTTATCATGGTATCAGAAGTTAAATTCATCCTTACAATAAGATAACACAATAGAAAAGTAATATAACACATTGAATAACCCCTTTAAAATCATCCAAAATATTATTCCATCATAGACCAATATTAGATTCCCCAGCTAATGGGAACCTGATCCTCTACCCTCTATCTGTATGATCATAACACATACAACACACAATATATAGAAACAAAGAGAGTAAGTTATCATTTTAAGGCACAATATGTGGAATTATATAAAGTATAAATATCATGACATAACATAAACAATCATAACACAACATAAACAATCATAACACAATATAAACAATTGTAACACAACATGAACGATCCTATCATAAAATAAACATATAACGTTCATTTCCCAAACATGGAACTCATTCTCATCAACATGATGCATGAACTACACAATGTATCCCAACTAGTTCATTGTCTAATGCAATGTATGTGGATCCATGTTCAACCTTTTATTTTTTAACTCGACACCCACTATTTTTCAACTCAACTCCTTTCGGAAAGCAATAAGGAGTACAAGACATCTTATACGATATAATATAAATCATCAAGTACAACAATCAGATCAGGTGACTCTCGTACCAAGAGCTCTCTCACCGATCCAAATAACTCAAAATGGGGTTTCAGTATCACTTGGTTAAGCAGGGTTATCCTGATCTACAGGGATCAACCTAGATCGTCACTGTATTATCCTACCCAAGAAACCCTCAAGGTTTTCATGATAAATCACCATCTTTAACCACCCATATTCATTTCCATTTCTATCATGAACATTTATGTACCACCACAAACCTTCCTCCGATGCTATGATGAATGTATATCAAACTCATTATATTCATGTATTATAACCACATTTACATTATATTTTTATGTACATATGTAAGTATATATACCATTAACATCGTTTTATTTCAACTAAACCAACTACAAATCAAAACAATTATCATTAATTATAAAATTCTTCCCAAAAACAACATTCACACCATTAACAAGCACCACTACACCAGAAATCGTCTTAAACAACGGTCCTTCAACAGCGCTTCCTAGAACTATGCTGTTAAATACGAGGCGAAAGAAAATAGACAACGCCTGATTAAGAGATTACTGTTAATATTGATAAGCAGATATAACATTAACAACGCAACCCTGAATGTGCAATATTGAATAAGTGTTGACTTGAATTCATTCTCTTTAACAACGCTCCTTTTTCGATGCGCTATTAATTGGAATCTATTTAACAGCGCCTTTATTTGTGTACGTTGTTGATGAGATATCTTCTACCGCGCACTCTTCAATGAGCATTGTTGATTTGATATCGTATACATCGCTTTCTTAAATGTGCGCTGTTGAATTAATAGGATTTTAAAAATTTACAATTTCTAAATAACATTCTCTCATGTATTAAATTGTTTTCGTTTCCCATAATTCTTTTGCTTTGTGATGTGAGTTTCGCACACTTTAAGACTAGTCATTTGCATGTATGTTTGTCCATGTAAAAAAAAAAGAGCATACACACAAACATGTAGGTCCAGAGCTACAAACAGGTCAACAAATTAGCCTAACCAATTCCATATATTAGAGTGCTCATACAGTTACCCTGTTACAAATTCATTATCAACAAATTCTAGATACATCAATAATACATTGCTTGGACCAGAAGAACCCAAAGGATCTTGCAAAAGGGACGGGATAAGTGCAGCGTTTGTGGTCCGGAAGATAAGACATTCTTGTGATGTCTATTGATGCTCCTATTCTGTAGAAAACAAGGGAAGAGTTTCAGTTACTTCATTAGGTGCAGAATCAAAATAAAATATTTGGCATACATCAACCATTCAACATTTGAACCATAAAATTTCAGCATCAAAATAGGATTGGTTTATCTCAACAATATCAATGCGACAAGAACCTTCGACCAATGAAATCAACAAGTGAATAAAGGTTTCTCTTGGGATCAAACTCAGTTTAGTGCTCAATATAGCTTGGGTATAATAATATAAAAACCAGAGAATATTGTGGGTAAAAGCTATAGTAGATGTGAGGTGAAGGTTGTTGATCTTGGAAGTAGTTGTTTTGAGACATATCACCTTCCCTCTTATGTTCAGTCAAGGTCCTATCATGCTCCTGAGGGGATTTTGGGGCTTCCATATGATAAGAAGATTGATATCTGGTCACTTGGTTACATCTTGGCTGAACTTTGTACTAGTAACGTCCTCTCCCAAAATGATTCACCAGCAACATTACCTGCTCGGGTGATTGGGATCATTAGTCCGATTATGCTTGCAAAGGGACCAGATACATACAAAGTACTTACCAAAAAGCATATGCTTTATGAATGGAATCAGCCAAAAAGTCATGAGCAGAAAGTAACTAAACAGACCAAAGTTATCCTAGTTTCAGTTACAGGCAGCAGTAATGTGCAGCCTTAAATGAGTAATCAAGACCAAAAAATAAGAGTTAAAATGACAATCAGAAGGATGGAATGGTTAGTCAAAAGTCACAAACAAAAGCTCAAGGATGACAACATGGACATGCATAATCAGAAACTTCAGTTACACTTGCAATAATCACATAATTAGGAGTTTTGATTAGTGTTAAAAGGGGGTAATCAAGCATATGACAGGTGAATTAATGGTCAGCTGAAAGGACCTTGTAACTCAATTCCCAACCCACTTGACTATAAATTGAAGGCAAAATCAGACAAAAAGAGGGGGTAACATATTACAGATACATATCACATAATAACCAGAGGGATCAATTCTCCTCTCAAAAATTCCAGCACTACAATACCCTTATAATCCAAAATTCTCTACCAACCCCACTATACTTGTCATCCTCTCTTCATCCTATCACTCCTCAGAAATTTCAACATGTGACACTCATCTCAGAACCTAAAACATAACCCACACGTATAACATACACAAGCACCTCTCATATACACAACCATCCAAAAATAAACCTCTCATACACAACATCTCAAACATCCATCCGCGACAAATCAAGGAGCAACACACATTGACAAACAACTCTCATACACACAACTCAGACGGGAGGAAAAGCCATACACTCACATACAACACATTTTGTTGGAACTTTTGTAGTTTGATGCCATTAGTGTGGACCTTAGGATGTGAAATTGAAAAACTCACAAGTCCCATATTGGAAGTTTTTGTAAAAACCTCACAAGTCCCACATTGAAAGATTTTGAAAAAATCTCACAAGTCCCACATTGGAGGATGCAAGAGTAATGACAAAATCTCATTCTATAAATAGAGGTCTCTTCCTTCATTATTTTTTGCACCTGAAGCTTGTACGCTTGTACAAGCTTCTTTCTTTCTCCCTCCATAAATTCTGCCGACGCAATTCCGGCCTCCTTTCTCTCCCTTTCTTTCCGTGGCACTAGAGTTGGAACATGAATCCAATATTATGGGAAATTCCAATACTGACACTGGTAGTCAGTTGTTGGAATAGAATTGGCATGGGAAGCCAATATTGTGGGTATTTGGAATTGGCACTGGAAGCCATATTTTTGGGTGTATTCGAGAACGATTCTTACAGTGCAATAAGAAATCGTATAACAGAGAGCTGGGCTGCTTTATCCTGGGGACGGCGTGGTTGATAGTCTGTTTCATTCCACAGAGCGATAGAGACACTGAGTATGATTCTAGCATGTTTAATGTTTTTTATAAATTAAAAGGCATTATTCATGAAACAACTGCACTATATTCACCTGAAATGAATGGTAAAGCGGGAAGAAAGAATAGAACATTAACTTAATTAGTAGTAGCTATCATTTTAAGTTCTGGTGCAGCACCCTCTTGGTGGGGTGAAATTTTATTAACTGTGTGTTATGTACTAAATAGAGTCCCCAAGACTAAGAGCAAAGTATCCCCATATGAACTCTTTAAGAATAGACAACTTAATTTGTCTTATTTCAGAACTTGGGGTTGTCTGGCTTATATCCGGATACCAGAACCCAAGAGAGTTAAACTCGCTAGTAGAGCCTATGAATGTTTATTCATTGGGTATGCTATAAACAGCAAAGCGTACAGGTTTTATGACATTAACGCTAAAGTAATCATTGAGTCTAATGATGCTGACTTTGATGAAAAGAAATTCCCTTTTAAATTGAGGAATAGTGGGGGCACATCATCTAGTCACACACCTGTGATTATAGATAGTGATGATGGGTTAGAAGTAGAACCTAGAAGAAGTAAGAGAACAAGAACTGCTAGAGAGTATGGACCTGGTTATATGGTCTATACATTGGAAGATGATCCATCAACTATCCAAGAAGCTTTGACTTCCTTGTATGCTGATTTATGGCAAGAAGCCGTAAATGATGAGATGGATTCTCTAGAGTCTAACAAGACTTGACATTTGACTGACTTGCCACCTGGTTGCAAACCGATTGGTTGTAAGTGGGTTTTGAAAAAGAAACTGAAACCTGATGGCACAGTGGATAAATACAAGGCTCGCCTTGTAGCCAAAGGTTTCAGACAAAGAGAGAATGTAGATTTCTTCGATACATTTTCACATGTTACTAGAATAACATCCATTAGAGTACTAATATCGCTCGCTGCGATACATGATTTAGTAGTACATCAAATGGATGTTAAAACCGCTTTTTTAAACGGTGATTTGGAAGAAGAAATCTACATGGAACAACCTGAAGGTTTTGTAATCCATGGGCAAGAAAATAAAGTCTGCAAGTTAGACAAGTCATTGTATGGTCTTAATCAAGCACCTAAACAGTGGCATGAAAAGTTTGATAACTTAATCATATCGAATGGGTTTAAGGTGAATGAAAGTGATAAATGCATTTATTACAAATCAGAAAATGACATTTACACTATCATATGTCTCTATGTAGACGACCTACTCATATTTGGTTCCAACATTCATGTTGTGAATAATGTGAAATCAATGTTGTGTAACAACTTTGATATGAAAGACCTTGGAGAGACAAATGTAATCCTTGGTATAAAGATTACTAGGTCAAAGGAAGAAATTTCTCTGGATCAATCATATTATGTAGAAAAGATCCTAAAGAAATATAAATACTTTGACTGTAAACCTGCTAGCACACCATATGACCCAAGTGTAAAACTTTTTAAGAACACTGGTGAAGGTGTAACACAAACAGAATATGCTAGCATCATTGGCAGCCTTCGGTATACCACTGATTGCACTAGACCCGACATTGCCTATGTTGTTGGACTATTGTGCAGGTTTACCAGTAGACCTAGTATGGAGCATTGGCATGCTATTGAAAGGGTAATTAGATACCTTAAAAAAACTATAAACCTTGGTTTACATTACCAAAGGTTTCCAGCTGTCCTAGAAGGATACAGCGATGCTGATTGGAACACTCTTTCAGATGATTCCAAAGCAACCAGTGGCTATATATTTAGCATAGCTGGTGGAGCTGTTTCTTGGAAATCAAAGAAACAGACTATTTTTGCTCAATCCACTATGGAAGCTGAGATGATAGCACTAGCAACAACTATTGAAGAAGCAAGCTGGCTTAGAAGCTTGCTAGCTGAGATTCCCCTATGGGAAAGACCGATACCAGCTGTGTTGATCCATTGTGATAGTACCGCGGCTATTGCAAAGATTGAGAACCGTTTTTATAACGGTAAGAAACGACAAATACGTCGTAAGCACAACACCATTAGAGAGTTTCTTTCTACATGAGCTGTTAGAGTGGATCACGTACGCACTGAGAATAACTTAGCAGATCCTTTGACGAAAGGACTAGCTAGAGAGAAAGTCCATAATACCTCTAAGCTTATGGGACTATTGCCTTTAGAACGAAGATCACTCACGATGGTAACCCGACCTAACTGACTGGAGACCCCAAGAAATAGGTTAAATGGGTAATAACAAGTTGTGAAGTGATATGAGAATGAACATGCTATGAAATTATGAGAAGCATGATTCCTGCAGTATATGTAAGGATGAGTTAAACTCTTAATGAGATCTATACTCCAATTGGAGTGGAGTACCTAGACTACAGGAGTACTCTTGATAGACTCACCTATGTGAATGTGAAAGTGGGGGCCGCTTTCTATGAAATTTAAGAGGCATAAATTTCTAGAGCGTTCACTAAACTGGGATAGACGTGCATGGCCTTTAACGCACGGGCTTTATTGAATACACCTTTGAAAATGTTGTGTGTGGTTTGATGCCGGAGATAGAGTTCAAGATTATGAGTCACTCTAGTAAAATCTGGATCTTACTCACTATGCAAAGGTTCAAGTCGAATGACACCTTTGTTTATGCACAATCTTAATGAGACCACAGAAATTCCCGGAAATCGTTTTTTAATTTCAAGTGGGGGATTGTTGGAACTTTTGTAGTTTGATGCCATTAGTGTGGACCTTAGGATGTGAAATTGAAAAACTCACAAAGTCCCATATTGGAAGTTTTTGTAAAAACCTCACAAGTCCCACATTGAAAGATTTTGAAAAAATCTCACAAGTCCCACATTGGAGGATGCAAGAGTAATGACAAAATCTCATTCTATAAATAGAGGTCTCTTCCTTCATTATTTTTTGCACCTGAAGCTTGTACGCTTATACAAGCTTCTTTCTTTCTCCCTCCATAAATTCTGCCGACGCAATTCCGGCCTCCTTTCTCTCCCTTTCTTTCCGTGGCACTAGAGTTGGAACATGAATCCAATATTATGGGAAATTCCAATACTGACACTGGTAGTCAGTTGTTGGAATAGAATTGGCATGGGAAGCCAATATTGTGGGTATTTGGAATTGGCACTGGAAGCCATATTTTTGGGTGTATTCGAGAACGATTCTTACAGTGCAGTAAGAAATCGTATAACAGAGAGCTGGGCTGCTTTATCCTGGGGACGGCGTGGTTGATAGTCTGTTTCATTCCACAGAGCGATAGAGACACTGAGTATGATTCTAGCATGTTTAATGTTTTTTATAAATTAAAAGGCATTATTCATGAAACAACTGCACTATATTCACCTGAAATGAATGGTAAAGCGGGAAGAAAGAATAGAACATTAACTTAATTAGTAGTAGCTATCATTTTAAGTTCTGGTGCAGCACCCTCTTGGTGGGGTGAAATTTTATTAACTGTGTGTTATGTACTAAATAGAGTCCCCAAGACTAAGAGCAAAGTATCCCCATATGAACTCTTTAAGAATAGACAACTTAATTTGTCTTATTTCAGAACTTGGGGTTGTCTGGCTTATATCCGGATACCAGAACCCAAGAGAGTTAAACTCGCTAGTAGAGCCTATGAATGTTTATTCATTGGGTATGCTATAAACAGCAAAGCGTACAGGTTTTATGATATTAACGCTAAAGTAATCATTGAGTCTAATGATGCTGACTTTGATGAAAAGAAATTCCCTTTTAAAT